GTATTTGAAGTATCGGACAGACTGTGAAACTCAGGCAATACTATCGAAACTAATGAATTCATTAATGGATTTACGAATTATTTGTGATTTTGAGGTTAAGATTGGTTTTGAAATATATTTGGATTCCTTTGGACCTATTCTTAAAGAAATACTTTTTGATATACCTGTAAATGTCGCTTAAATTATATTTTAAACACATTTAAAGATTTATGTATAATATATCAGATCTATTGATAAGCCTGTGCCATACAATGTGTTAAGTAAATTCTGTACGATTCTGTAATTGTTTTCGAATTTACAAACAGATCATTTATTTACTATTAGTATTATAAATACTCATGGTAAAATTTGAATAATAAATTAATATATTTTATTACAACATTATTGTTTAATAGCAATAAATTATCTAAATGTTAGATGTCAAATTAATAATTCATGATTTATACAAGACTTTAATTAGTTATTTTTTTGTAGACGTAATTATTACATTGTTAGCAAATAATAAATATAACAATGTATTTAAGTGAGTTTGTGACTGATAATCACTAGGATATTAAAGTTATAATTGATAATTCAAAATAGCTAAAATACCATTAATTTATAACTTATACCAGTGCTGTCTAAAATATTTAAAAACAAAAAATAAGTAGCACATAATTTTATTATTTCTTATAGATTATCAGTAGATAAAGCTCTTTACAAAACACAAATATCATTACTATTTTTTACTGTATTTCTAGAAATATGTCATTGTACTTCAGTATTAATTTTATGGTTATTTATGATATTTATAATATGTTTTGAAATGTGGTGCTAATATGATCAGAATCAATTCTTATAAAACATGCCACATCTGTGGTGATGTATCTAAAGGTTTGTGATTTAGTGAAACTGCATTTATTGTGAAAACTAATCAATATTTTCAATGCAGGATATCATTATCATGCAATATGTTGTGAGCCATGTAAATTATTTTTTCGTAGGAATGGCTTAAAATCGGTAAATAATGTTGACAATAAACATTAGATAGGTGATAATACTCAATGAGCTAATTAAATTAATTATATATCCAGGATCAATTGCGATGCTATTTAGGAGGCGATTGTAAAATAGATTTTAAAAGTAGAAAAAATTGCAAGAAATGTCGTTTGAATAAATGTTTGGCCATCGGAATGAGAAAGGTAAATTATAAAACAATGTAACAAAACATTAAAATAGCTACAGTATTATAATATTTGCAATGTTAGGAATTATTACAACTAAACACTGCCGTAGAAAATGTGACAAAAACTATTGAGAAACCCATTGGACTTAATAGTGATAAATTAAATTCAGACATAACTGTATTGAATATAATTATTGAAAACAATGATTCAAATGGCGATAAACTAAGGAAACAAATTCAAGAATTAGAAAGTATTAATACAAATGTTGGTGTTATTAATACCATTGAGAATACACATGAGAAATCTGCAACTTTTGTATATAAATCTGTATTCAAACAAATTTATTGCGACAAAAGTTTCAATGATTTAGAGTCCATACGATTGACTGAATTGTTGAAAGCGTCGAAAATATTTAACTACAAGTCATTTCGTACGCAAACTATCATTGAGTTTAAAAGTATCTCTGAAGTGAATAACGTGGCCAACCTTATGATGGACAATGACACAGTGGACCTAATACAATTTACCAAACACCTGGACTCATTTAACAATTTGTGTTTCAACGATCAAATGGCACTTTTTAAGTACGGGTGCCTCGAGATACTTATACTCCGATCTTCCCTCCACTTTGACATCAATACGGAGAACTGGATGATGGTTTGGGTTTGTACTACAATTTTAAGAGAAATTATCAGTTGATTCACTTATTTTATTAAAATTTAATAATTATATTAAATGCTATTATTGCAGAATTCGCATAATCCAAGTGCCGGTGTATTTAATTTAGACATTTTAAAGCCAAAATACATGGATTTATACGCTTATTATAAAGATTATTTTCGTAAAGTAGTCCCCGAATGGAAACAAGATTTTGTAATATTAGAATTGGTATAATAAAATGTTATTTACAAATTTACACTGCTTAATACTGTATAATCCTTTTCGATGTATTATATTACATAACAGGTGACAGCGATAATACTGTTTAATCCGAATCGACCCAACCTTATACACAGAGATGTGGTCAAGTAAGTTACCCTGATAAATATGAATTCATTTCAATAGGGTAAATGTGATTTAAGTTGTTATGATCAAAATTATTATTATTTAGATCCGAACAGCAATTGTATATCTATTTACTCCAACGCTATCTATTTCAATAGGGTAAATGTGATTTAAGTTGTCATGATCAAAATTATTATTATTTAGATCCGAACAGCAATTGTATATCTATTTACTCCAACGCTATCTGTATTTGAAGTATCGGACAGACTGTGAAACTCAGGCAATACTATCGAAACTAATGAATTCATTAATGGATTTACGAATTATTTGTGATTTTGAGGTTAAGATTGGTTTTGAAATATATTTGGATTCCATTGGACCTATTCTTAAAGAAATACTTTTTGATATACCTATAAATGTGGCTTAAATTATATAGAAATAAAGAATATGTACATAAAAATGTTCACTAATTGTGATAGAGTATTTATTGTTTTATAATACTTAAGGTGCACTTTTGCACTTCAGATTAAGTGAATTATGAAATATTATTTAATTTTAATTGAGATACTGTGTCTGTTATCATAAAAGTGAGATAATGACAAAAATTCAATAACTATTTTGATATTAAAAATTACTTAAATGCAGAATTATTAAGGAAGTCATCATTAATTATAAATAAATAATATTTGGGTTAAAATCTTGATTAATAAATACCAATTGAATGTCTCGACAAAGCTCTAAATGCGAGATTTGTGGCGACAAAGCCGTCGGTATGATACGTATTTGCATTGAATTTGAAATTTAATTAAATTGTTTGAAATGCTTAATTTGTAATAATATTGACTGTCTGTACTGTCCAGGGCGAAACTTTGGTGTAATTACTTGCGAGTCGTGTAAAGTATTTTTCCGACGAACTGCCCTTCAAAATGAAGTAAATAAATAATATTAAATAAATGTGCAAATAATAGGTATTTAACTATAATGTATTTTAGGTACTAAAATGTCGTTCAGATGATAACTGTTTAATTGATAAGAAATCGAGAAAGAGTTGTAAAAGTTGTCGATTGAAAAAGTGCTATAAAATGGGAATGAAAACGGTAATTTTTAAAAGTTTTATTAGCAAAGCAAATATAATTAATTAAATAAATTATACATTTATAGCAATTAATTAGAGTTAAAGAATCGGATGAGAATGTATCACAAAATACTAATGAAAGTACTGTTTGTATACGGAATCAAACATTTCTTGAATCGGATTCTGAGTACAATGTTTTGAATGAAATTATTGAAAGCAATGCTATGAATGGCAATAAACTTCAAAAACAGATTCAGCTGATTGTTAGCGATTTAGGCGATAATCAAGAGATAATGAGCTATACAAGTAATAACCAGGACAATTATATGAGGGATAAATACTATGAATTATCTATAAAATTATCATTTAAATCCGTGTTTAAAGAACTTAATAACGAAAACAGTTTCAATGAATTAGAGTCCAACCGATTGTCCGAATTATTCAAAGCCTCGCAAGTGTTCAGATATAAGACAATACAAAACAAGTCGTTAAATGAAATCATAAATCTAACCGAGGTGAATGATATGTGCAATATGATGTTGGACCTGGACGTGTTGGATTTGATCCAGTTTACCAAATCGTTGACATCGTTTAAAAATATGTGTTTCAACGACCAAATGGCACTTTTTAAGTATGGATGCCTTGAGATGCTAATACTTCGCTGCTCTATATTTTACGATACTAGTACTCAATATTGGAAATGGGTCTGGGTAGGTTATATACATATTAATAGCATATAAACATTAAATTAAGATATTCTTGAATACAGAATCGCGAGAATCCGTTCGTGTGTTCATTCAAATTAGATATCTTTAAACCGGAAACAGATTTATACACATATTATAAGAAATATTTGAATAAAGTTGTGCCAGAGTGGAATAGTGATTTTGTTATTATTGACCTGGTAAAACCACAATTTAAAAACTGTACGATGAGTTTATTTAATCTCTATTTATAACCCATAGTTGTCGGCAATAATACTGTTTAACCCGAATCGGCCCAATATTTTGCACAGAGATGTCGTTAAGTAAGTTAAAGTCGATTCACAATTGCTTTGTGATTATTGCAATTATTTTAAAAATTGTATTTTAATAATAATTTTTAGAGCCGAACAGCAATTATATATTTATTTACTCCAACGCTATCTATATCTGAGATACCGATCGGAAGTGGAAACACACATGAAATTAGCGAAACTTATGGATCCGTTAAAGGATTTACAGATTATTTGCGACATCAAGAAGAAAAAGGGTTACGAGTTATATATGGATACTTTCGGACCTAATCTTAAAGAGATACTCTACGACACCACACTTTAATGTTATTATTTATATTAAATTGATATACTGTTTTACTCTACATAAAAGTTTATGTTTACCTTAAATAGAAGTTGCTATATTAATAAATATAATTTATGTTTATATTTGTTGATTATTTTGCACGTAACTATACAGTACTACTTTCAATATCCATAACATTAGATTTCAAATGGTCATGTGATA